ATTTATGGCTACGTTTTCATAGTTTCACTAATGCTGCTTTCGTGGGAGATCACGCGAAAGTGCAAATAGGCCTTGATTTGACCCGTCAAAGAGAAAATTGAATTAAGGAATTCTAGGCACTGTGATGTGGATAGTTTTGTTGCTATTCGTCACGGGTGCAGTAAGTGTGCAGCGTTTAATTGAGCGCTATATTTTGTGCAAAATTAGTTTTTGAAAATACGCGAGACAAATGCCACATTATCACACTTAATTTAGATTTCAGGTTGAACTCAGCATAGTCTTCTCCTAGATGAAGTTCCAGCAACCACTTGTTTGACATGCGACCACAGACAATCTGTATTTGTTCTTTCGGCAATTTCGCAAATAAGCTCCTCAAAGGCGTAGTGTCGAAGCAGTTTCAAGGGAACTGCAGAAGCAAACCACATTGCGTAATTCGGTGCTGCATAAGGAAAAGTAAAAACAGCATTTGTACGATTAGCACAGGGACGAGTCAACTTGTCTCACACCACGTGTCATTCTTTTATTTTTTTTTCGTTACATGCACGCAGTTCTCCTTTTTGGATTGAAATGACAAAAAAAACAAAAAAAACAGGGACGTGATAATATTGCTTATCTTACCTCCATGCACCCTAGACCATCATTTTTCGCGCCTTGTCACTATGCTAGGAATACGGCCACCTACTTTGTAATATAGAGACAAAGCTCTTTTAGAGAAAAAAAGAACTTTGCATGTGCATATGAAGACACCTACATGCTATTCTATATGGCAGAAGGATATTAGGGGCAAAAAGGTACTAAGTAGAGAAGTAGACAAAAAAGTTGGCAAGAAATAGTTATATTGGCCATGGTTTGTGCAAGTTACAACGTAATGGCTCGTGATAGAGGGATGTGAACAGAAATATTTGAACACCAGACGTTGCCGAGGAGAAGAGGTAGGTACAAGTATTTTACCTAGATCCAGCGATGCTTTAGAAGTTCCGCATATTCTAATTTGGAGAGAGAAGTTTCATTCCTCTACGCCTGGTTATCTAAGAACTATGTTTCATCAACTCTAACGCACCACAGTCGTCACAATATGCGCCAGTGGTCCAGCCAAAGTGGCACGTGCACCGATTGGTGAATGCTGTGTTGAGGGTATTTGAAAAGAAGAAGATTTCAGTAAAAACACCTTTAGAGGTTTGCACGTGTGCCAGACATACTATAGATGACTTTACCTCTAGTTTGTTTCCTTGGCCTTGGATCATCACCGGTGACTTCAACGCCCATCACATGCTTTGGGGGAGCACTAGGATGAATGCCAGGGGCCGGAACATTGTTACATTTGCTTCCGATTACGACCTTTCCATCATGAACGATGGTACCCCCCCATATCTGCGGGGTCTCACTTATGGCAGCTGCCTTGACCTAACATTGGTGTCACGGTGCTTCTCTCACAAAGTTAAATGGTTTTGTGATATTGAGACTCATGGGAGTGATCACATACCCACCCACGGGACGATCGATGGTATCATAAAAAATTTCTCTTCCGGTGTTGTAATTGGCACTGACTGGTCGATGTTTACATCGCGTGTTGAGGACGCTTGCCAAGAAGGCCTCGCCTGCAGCCTGGAAAATACCATAGCGGAAGCTATGTAAGCGTCCAGATGTAAATTACCATTTTCGTCTAAAATAATACAGTTTGACATCAAACTGGAAAGATTACGAGCTATACGAAGGCGTGATGAACGACGATACAGACACACAAGATCAATTTACGATCTGAGGGAAGCAAGGCGGCTCCAGAAAAAGATTTAACGACGCTTTTACAAGCTGAAGAGCGAACTCTGGAAAGCATTCTGCGAATCTCTAGACCCTCATAAACCGCCTTCATATATCTGGAGAACAGTTCGTGGTCTTCGCTCCTCTCCCCAACAACGGCACCCTTTTAAAGTTTTGGCACTCCATCATGGAAAAACAGAACTCGAGGTGGCTGAAGAATTTTGCACGAGAGTTGCCAGGAATATTATGAACGAGAGCATCGACGCCGTGATCGTTCCTGAGACGCGATTACCAGAAATGGACATTCCATTCACCATGGAAGAACTGGAAGGCGCGTTAGTCGCTTCTAAGCGCATGTCATCGCCAGGTCCTGATGGTATTACAATAATTGCGTTGGGACACCTTGGACGAAAAGCCAGAAAAGAACTTTTAACATGCTTCAACAACTCCTGGCTCAGCGGCAGTGTTCCCCGAGAATAAAAAATAAGTCGATTAATACCACTTTTGAAATCGGGAAAATCAGCATTGGACTTGACAGCGTATCGCCCTATTATCCTCACAAGCTGCCTCGGAAAAGTGATGGAAAGAATGGTTCTATTTCGTCTCGAATGGTACTTTGAACGATACACCAAATACCCTTCTTGCATGGCAGGCTTTCGTCGGGGCCGCTCCTCCATCGACTGTGTCCTTGACTTATCGACATTTGTTCAACAAGAAAAAAGTCGCAAGCGCATATCAGTGGCACTCTTTCTTGACGTGAAGGGTGCATATGATAATGTAGCTCACGATGCCATCCTCACTTCTCTCGCAGCAATGGGCATCGGTGGACGAATGTTTCAATGGATAAAAGATTATATAACTGGCAGGGGTTTCTTTGTGCAAACATATGAGGGTACAACTGCTGAACATTACACCTACTGCGGAGTACCTCAGGGAGGTGTTTTAAGCCCCACATTGTTCAATGTTGCCCTCATTGGTCTGGTGAAGGTTCTGCCAAAGTCGGTGTGCCTATCCATATACGCCGATGATATTTGCCTCTGCAGTGCTCCAGTTTCTCGCCCTCAGGTGCGTGCACGAATACAGCGGGCAGCAACCCTCACAACAGCCTACCTTCAGAAACAAGGCCTAACTATATCAACTGTGAAGTGCGCGTTGATTGCGTTTACACGCAAACCAATGACGCCATACCCTCTTTACATCAATGGGCAGAGTGTCAAGTATGCACGGACGCATCGTTTCCTTAACATAATAATCGACAGAAGTCTTTCGTACACATTGTGCGTACTTGAAGAAGAGACTGCTATCTATTGTGCATATAATGAAATTCATGTGCGGGAAAGCATGGGGAACTTCTGTGGCCTCAATGCTACAGCTGTACAGAGCCCTATTTCTGGGTCTGTTGCGCTACAGCTTCCCGGTACTGACTAACACTTGCAAATCAAATACTCAATAATTGGAGAGTTTGCAGGGTCAGGCACTGCGTATCTGCCTAGGACTGCCCCAATAGCTTCTACTTATGCCACAATCATGCTTGCGAAAGACCATCCGGTCAGGACATATAGAGTTGTGGATTGCCTCAGAGCGCACATTCTACATGCTAGCCGTGTCCCCGACCACCACTTGGCCCTTCTATCCTCCGGAAGACCACGTGCTACGTTTCCAGACGTCATAGCCAAGCACCTAAACAGCATTCCATCAGGATATATGCCAGCTGCGAGAATGACATATCTTTTGTGGTGCCTCGACCAGCCGCAAGTACGTCTAGAAATTCCGGGAATCAAAAAGAAAAGCAATCACTCCAGAGTAGCATTGAAGCAAGCAACACTGCTATTATTACTTGAGTTGTACTTAGACAGAACGCAGATATTCACTGATGGGTCCGTCTCATCCAGAAGCTCATCAGGTGCCGCTTTAATTCCGGCTGCAGCAATGACAATCAAGTTTGAGTTGTCGCATATGACTACATCTACGGCATCAGAGCTTGCTGCTATAAGGGCTGCTTTACAATATCTCGTTGAAGAACGTCCAGGAAAATGGGTCATATTCTGTGATTCGAAGGCAGCGCTTCAGAGTTAGCAGTCTGCCATGCGTAGGAGGAGTCATGACCAATTGGTACAAAAAATAAGACATTGCCATCATGAAGCTCTAGCACGAGGGCATGATATTATATATCAATGGCTGCCTGGACATATCGATATTACCGGAAATCAATTAGCCGATGATGCAGCCCGCTCAGCCCATGAAGGAACCCGTGTAGTCCCGATTCTTCTATCAAGGAATGATGCAGCAAGACAACTTTACTTGCTGGCTCGAGATCTCACACGCACGTTCTGGTCGTCTACCAGCTTCCAAAGGTGTCAATTTTATGAACTGGATCCTTCACTCAAGCTAAAGCTACCATCACAACTTTCCCGCTCCGATGCGACACTGTATGCCGCCTTTGGTTGGGTGTTGCATTTACAAAGGTGTACTCCTTTCGCATTGGTATGGCATACACTCCTACATGCGACTACTGCGGAGCTGAAGAGACCATCGAAGACGTCCTGTGCAGCTGAGCTTGCTACGACAAACAGCGATGCCAGCTCCGGATGGTTTTGAATCAACTTGACCCCGGCCCATTTTGTGTGCAGAAGATACTAGGACCTTGGGCATCTGCCTCAGTTGCGCAGAAAGCAACTAAACCACTGCTACTTTACCTAAAGTCAACAAACCTGAGCGACCACCTGTAGGCTGTGTGTGCTCCCCGAGTGTGCTCGTGATTGTGTGTACCTTCTCATCTCTCTGCAACCTCTTTTCTCCCCTTTATCCCGTCCCCAGTGCGGAGTAGCAAACCGGATGTGCGTCTGGTTAACCTCCCTGCCTTTCCTTGCATCTTTATATATATATATCTTTCTCTCTCTAGTTTGTTTCTTTGTTTAATACTGCAGCTTTTAACATGCTTTTTGTCACTCATAGCCTCTACCTTCAAAAATCTTTTATTTCTTGCATAACACTTAAATGAGCCTTTAGGCGTTGTGCATATAATACCTTCAGTTGCGAATTTTTACATCGTACTTAGGTATTGCCTGAAATATGTCAGACCAACTTCGCTCTTCAGCTGTCAGTAAAACAATTAAACGTTTGTATTGCGAAGTGATCAAAATTAACAAAAAGAAAGAACACAAGGAAGCATTGATAAAGCATTAAACATTGTTTGTGTTCATCATCATCCCTTGTTGATATCAGCTTATGTTAAACTCCCATTAGCGACGGCGATAACCGGGGTAACCAGCAGTGAATCCGCCGTAGCCTGCAGCGCCATATCGACCAGCCCCGAATGCCGAACCGTAGCCGTTGGGCCGCGCGTATCCACCGTTGCCGTATCCTCCTAGGCCCTGTCCATACGGAGCGTAGCCGGAACGCCCAAACCCACCGTACCCGTAGGCACCGTTGGCCACAGCAGTTGGGCCGTATCCGCCGTATCCGCCGTAAGCACCGGGGGCTCCGTAGGCCCCGTATCTGCCGTATCCGTTATTGTAGCCCGGGATTGAAGCCCTAGCGCTATAACCTGGAGCACCGTATCTTGCAGCGCCAAAACTTGCAGAAGCTGCAGTTCCTCCTGGAACCGGCGGGACTACAGGAGCGGCGTTGAACACGACGTCGGCGCTAGCTCCGGGCGCTGTACCCGGCTCGTTTGTATCCACCGTTGCACGGAAGCCGTTGGCATCGGCTATGTAGTTAACGCGACGGTAGAGGCCGTATACGTCCGTGTACCCGTACGAACCGGTTTTCACGTTGTTGGCATCCCCCTGCTCGCTGCGGTACTGCCGGTTGCCTAGCTCATCCACAATGTCGTAGTTTGTGCTGTATGGTTGAGGTGGCTAGAAAGAAGAAGAAAAATAACATGAAAAGCACGGGCACGCATAAGTAAACGAAATAAAGCTCACTATGAATTGTTGATGTTCACTTTATGAATTGTACGGAAAAAAGCAGCGTCAGGGTCGACCTCTCAAGTGCGGAATTTATCGCATTCATGTCGACTGTTTGTTACAGAGAAAATCATGGGTGTTTTTTGTGTTGTATTATGTCTCGGTAAATTTTAAGACGAGTGAAATAAACCCGTAATTTACTATAGATTTGTGTTACAGCTGTGAAATTAATTCAGTACATACGAAGAAGAACAAATTAAATGTCTCCCAGTTACACTGACTCTTGTTAACAAAGTGTCCTAATTACGATGTGAAGTTTGGCTGATACTTAACACATTCTTCGGAGAACGATAAGTTTAAATTGATGAAAGTAGAGGAAGAAAGAGATGTGCTTCCATAGATAGCAGTGTTGCGGAAAGACTTTTGAGTAAGTAAGTGTGCTATGGTGGACTGCTATTTAGTTTCATAGCACATGCCTAGAGCTCGACCTTCTGGAAATCTCGAGCTATCGGTTACGAGATAATGTTGTTTGTTTCGAGAGCTTCATAAATTTCTCAACATTACGAGCCTTGTATGCGGCGCAGTGCTCCATCTCACATTCTGCATTCGATATGTGTGTCGGCTGGTCTAATGCTAGATGCTGCTCTAATTGCAAACAAAATGGTGACCGAAAGGTAGTATCACTCACTCCAGCGAAGTCGGCATATTCCTGGTAAGGAGTGCCCACCGCAGGGCCAATGGGGCGACCGTAGCCTGGATCTTGGTATCCCACGGTTGTTTGTTGGCTGTTCTGTGCAAAGGCTCGCGCCGCAACGCAGGTGAGGAACAGCTGAAACTGCATTTGGAAGGAAACATTTTTATCAGAATGCACCACCTTTAAGCTACCTAAGTAGTTTGAAGAAAGCGTAAATTCGTAAAGTTGGTGGAGCTAACGCAAACTATGCCAGCGGAAAGTTTGTGAGAAAGAAAACTTGCGGAGTAATTAAAAAAACATTTGTAGTGAAACATACGCACGGCAAAGTCGTTACCACTAAATAATAGTGTTTGACGAGGTTTAACGTCCCGAAACCTCGATATGTTTATTAGAGACGCTGGAGTGAATGGCTCCGAGAATTTTGCGCCCCTAGGGGCTGTTGCACATGCACCTAAATTTAAGTACCCGGGAGGAAAACATTTACACCTCTATGGTAAATGCGACTGCCGCGCCTGGTATTCGGTCTGCAAGTCGTCACGACATGCAAAGAGTTCCATGCGAATTTTGCGGAGTATTGAGGCCAGGTTCGTAAGCAAGATTAGGTGTTACGAGTAAGATACCAATCTGTCATTTGAACTCGCGAGGAGACTCAAAAGATTTTGCATATACCGAACTAAAAAAATTGGCAGAAAATAAATACCTTTAAATTTTCATGAAACGGGACATGCCATTTTTTATAGGTTTTGAAACCTTCACACACAATGCTTCATCAAGGAAAGAAATGTACCTTTAAGGACTTGTTTTCTTCGTTAAACACAAATAATGTGATCTAACAAACAATCATGCCAAGGAAAGTATAGGGGATGCATTTAAAAGTGATTGTAATGTAAAAGTGAAATAAGAAAAAAAGAACGAAAAGACAATGTTCCTTGGGCAAGTTATCTTTCTTAGTAAAGAACGCATACGAACATTGAAAGTATGCGAACGTTGACATAAACCATGAGCTGCATTTGATTTAATATTAGGAAAAGTCTGGTATCCGAAAGCTGTACGATATTGTCAGTAAGTATCAACCGCGAAAATTTGAGAAAACTGCATTTATCACCATGTATGCCATAACTATCATTTATTACGAACCGTCACTTCATTAGGACGACATTGCAACAGCTATGGGGGCGCTGCTCAGTCGGAGAGTGCAGTACCTACTTCCAACGTCTTAATAATATCTGAATGCACGCCGCTGCTTTCCTAATACTCCACAAGTAATGAGAAAAATGCCGATCAAGAAGAGGGCAAGGTGGGGGAATGGGCGCTTGATTGCTAGTCATTCCTCGTGGACCTTGAAAAATGAAGCTGGTCAGGAAATATTCCTGTAATATAGGACTTAAAGACTATTGTGCTCTTTTCCGGAGGCTGCGGATAACAAACCCACTACTGGAGACCTTAGTTGAGAACTTGGATCAGCAGATGTTCATGCGTAAAGTGTGGAAGAGAGAGCTGCATGCAATGCAGACAATGCAACATACGTCCTTATTGGCTGCAAGCCTCATGAGCCGGTAAAACAGTATATTTCAGTTGGTGAATTTTTCAAGAATGACGTTTGTGAAGGGACGGAGCGTTGTATTAGAAGTGCTAAACTTGGTTAGAACGCTTAGAGAGAGTACTAGAAAATGAATTGAGCCAGCTTAACTTGATCCTCAACAAGGCAAGCATGTGACTACTGCATTGTGCTACTAATAACTAGGGCAGAATTTCAAAAGTCAACGAAGAACACTGTTAATAATGCGGCTACTCAAGTGGCGCTACGAGGCACATGTGAATGAGAATGTTTCCTCCTGGCATGGAAGCACAAGGGGGCAAATACTGGAGCGCACGTCACGAGAACGGCCAAAATTATTTATGCCGCTCAAGGCTCATTTTGAGACGGCATGTTATGTCAGGTCAGAGAAGGCGTGTGGAATAATTTTCTTGAGTATCTAAGATTTTACGTTCCAAAACTACGATATGAATATGAGACACACTGTAGCGGAGGGCTCAGTGAATTTCAACCATATGCTGTTCTTTAACGTGCGCTGGCATCACACAGAACACGGGCCTCTGCTATTTCCCCTTCATCAAAATGCAACTGGTGCGGCTGGGATCAAGACCGCAACCTTCGTGTCAGGAGCCGAGCACTTTAACTAATGGTACACCGCGGCGAATAGAAGGAATTTCAAGGATCCATTCCAGAGAAATGAGCCTACTACGGCTTTTGGCGTGATTGATTTGTCGTATGCTCGTCAGGTATCTAGAATAATTTGGAGCAGTTGCGGTGAAGGAGTTGACCTAGATGGAATGGTAAGTATAGTTATGATGCTTTTTAGTAAGATCCTTAACTACAATACTAGAGAAGGACAAAATGAAACTTTAACAACGACGTTTTCTTTTATTGTTGAAGGATACGCACAGCATCTTGTCACGATCTACTGAAATATTTCAGTGCTCCTCACGTGGTACGAGCTGCATCACTCCGTTACAGCCGTTCAAATGGTTGCCATGGTTTCCTTTTGCGGTTAGCAGAAATGCAGATACCCTTTTTACAGTTGGTCACTTATATAAACTAGAATGATTTTAACGTATTATCGCTGTCCTCCCCGTGCAAAAGCAGGACGAATTCATACTACAAGGTTTTTCAAACTCATTCGCTGAAAGCTGCTCGAAATTCGCATCTTCAGTTGAACAAACCAAAAGTAAGTTATAAAAAATAGACGCCCATATTCTTACCCTGGGAAACATGTCACGGCTTCTTCGTACTGGTGGCGAGTATTTCAGCGTACTGCTGATAGCAAGTAGTTACCGAAGCAGTGAAGTGAGTGTGGATGATCTGAGTGTCTGGCTGAAGACATTTATACTTATGCTCACGGCATGTGCAATTCTCTAGAGCTCACGTGATGAAAATGTCTGCATTTGAGTGGCTGGCGCGGGCACACGGCTGCGTGTGTTAGCGTGTGCCTTTCTGTTTCGCGATCTTTCAAAACGGAGTTGTCGCGCACGCCCTAACGTAAGTTCCGTAACCGGGTGAGTTGCGCGCCGCACTGAAAGCGTGACACTTTCATGGTGCCTGCTGCACGGGCACAAAGGGCGCACATTTCACACTTGCGAGATTCCAGGCGACGCTGTGGACATGAAATTTCAGTGCGTGCAAATGCGCGTTTCCAGGCTACAAAGCGAGGTTGTTTTCTCAATCTCAGCATGCCATTTTACGCTTACGATTTTCCTTGGCAGCATTCATTGATTGTTTGAATGAATCTTTGTTTACATTATACTGTTGTCCTCATCCTGAAGAAACTGAGGTCTGTTTTGTTTACTCATATATCCGGAAGCGTTTTGTATTTTGTTACCACGGACAGACGTGCCCCTCGGTAGCTGATTATTGTACTTAAATATTTGTTTTACATATGTATTGGATCGCTTACAACGTGCTCTTCACGGCGCGTAATATTAACGCGATGTTACCTGAATGCATTGGCACAGTGTGTACCGATACGTACTGGAGTGTCGTAAAACACGTAAGATAATTCGTGTGAGGGCTTGAATAACAGTGCAACTTAGCCAGAGAGCAAGTCCGTCCCGATGTTCATATGTGTCAAGCAAGCTCCTATGGTATTTTCTAACCAAAATTTTATTCTGAAAAAGTGGGCACGCAAGCATGGATGCTAGAAAGAAGACGCGATATCATGTTTGAGAAGTCGTTTTCGGTTAGAAGAGTAATCACTGCATTTTGCAAAAAGCAAGAGCCTTCGACCTGCTTGAGGCATTGTTGTAATATAGTTTGCAAGACGTATACGCCCGACTATACATAAAAATTAGAGCACAGGAATAATAAATATTATATTATTTGATTCGGAGAGCGTGACTAATCACTAAAGGGTGAGACAAGCCTGAGGCGGGTCAGTTGCGAGGACAGCATGAGCTCATCGTTGACTTCTTTCCACAAATAAATGACTCTGTGTCATCCCAGTCGCATCGTTCTCATCGAGATACAAAGCAGGTTCTCGCTGGCAGTAATACGCGCGTTATATTTCTTACACTTGCAAGCACTACGGATGAAAAGATCCCCGCAAATGATAGGGGATATAGTTCTAAAACAAAAATTAGGGGACCCTGAAGCTTCACTTTTATGAATTGAACACGATAGCGATATCGTTTTTCTAGTACGTATATATTTCAACCACTTAGTCCATACGTTTTATTGCATGATGTTACTCGAGAAGTTTAAATAGTGGTTTGCTAAATGCAATCTGTGGCTTGTGTCACTGAAGCTTTCTTCGCATATGGTGGTGTACAGTGTAATGAGTAGCATGCTTCAACCTACGAGTATAATACGTGAGAAATGTTTTCGAACATGCTATGAACCCGCTACATGGTCCTAAGAGAATGCGCGCAGAAACTTGTGTGCTCTTCGTAATGCGTGGCTCACTTCAAACCCTGAAGTGGTTATGATAACCACTCGTTTTCACGCCGAACGACAAGGTATGTTTGTGTCACGCAATCACTGAGATATTACATGTTGCATTGTGAAGCCTGTGTACAGGACACGTTCGTTTGTAAAGTATGAACGATTTTTCACTGAATTTCCAAGCAGTGGATGTTCTTTTCAGTTTATTTCAAAGCAGACGCGTGGATATGAAGTAGAAGACCTGCTGCTACGCAAACGGCCAAGATTCGATCCTCACTCTGACCCGAAATTTCCCGTTACTTAATTCATGTTTCTCGATTTTGTGGTCCTGCAAAGGATAATTTCTCGCTGACAACCAACGACGCCCACACCGGCACCGACACCGACGTTGACTCCGAAGTTTCTGCGAAACGAGTTCTTCAAATTATCACGTTAACGACATTTTGATGGCTCATAGTTAGGACAGCCTAAAGAGACTCCATGTTGTTTACAAAGATGAAGCAGCTTTCTCTGAGGAAAATTGAAAGCTTTATTTTTTGCATCAGGCTGGACGTGCGAGGGAGGAGCTTCCGACATTTTGGTAATGGAAGACGAAACCTGGCACATTGCTATTAAGAATATAAAACATTACGAATCATCACAGCAGTGCGAATTCGCGCTATCACTGTGTGCGGTGATCGACCTCAAGAACAATGCAAGTCTGCCTCAGATTTAGATCAGCTGCACTGATATATTTCAAATTATTAGCATTATAATTAAGACCAACTGTTTTAATCTATTGCTTGAAACTAACGCACCTTTGTGTATTCTTTGTATCTATGCGCTCTAAACCAAGCCATAAAATGAAGCTCACAATACGCATAAATTGGTACTTCCCTCGATAGACCCCATTTTCTCTTTCTTACACTGAAATGTAACTATAAGGTTTGACATATTCGTGCGAACGGGGTAGGCGGTGAGGAGCTTAAAGGTTGCCTTTTTGTAGTCGTCTAAGTGTAGACGTGACGTATGCCCCATACATTTACTTAGTCGAAAGCAGCTGCTACGATGAACCTTCGGCACCGCTAGTGGGGAACCTTGCGGACGCCTACGTTTTCAAAGCCTACATACACACTGGAATGACCGTTACATCCACTGTTGAGTAGGCGTCAAGGCAGAGCAACAACTTCAAAAGACAACCGGTATTGATGGGCTGTAATTTCGACACAAGGAGTCAGGAAGCTTATTCTAATACATCATGGAACTTTTCCGGCATAAAGATGTTTGGAAACTCCTGAGTGACAATAAGATCTAGTTGAATTGTGTTGCGGACAAGCTTGCTGCCACTAGTCGGTCCTTCCACAATGCATTTCTCAAACAGCTATCTGAATTTTGAAGTTTCTACATGTAAGTCCTTCAAAGCAACAGCAAAAGAAATTTTTTGAGCAAAAACATTTTGCGCAATTCTGAAAGAAGAACAAATACCAACCTCCTTCAGCTTCTTGACACACATTACAGTTCAGCGAAAAGTACAGTGTTAGGTTTCAAATATTGTTTACTTACCAGTCATTTGTGGTTACCACCAATGCAGGAAAGGACTAAACTTTATTGATATAACGAGCCAATGACGTCTTCACCCAATAGTAGCGGCGTCCAGATTTCAAGGCAATGTGAACCGTGGCCTTGCGTCCCATTCTGTTCACTAGGATTAGCTGGTCCTGAGGACCTGACCAGGCCAGCTGCGCCTGCCAGCGGTAAAACGGTTAGTTGTTGATGAGATAGACAACGACGGTGTTACCTTTACGCCCAACCTGGCATGGGCAGTTCCATTGCATTCCTTAGTCTATATTGTGGGGAAGATTGGTTTCAGAAGCGTGTAATGCGAAAGAAGTTCGTTTGAACTATTTTGAGGCTCTTCACTGCGTCTCTGCTCAGCCAGGCGGTGTACGAGCGTTGTGCTTTATAGTCAGTTTGCAGAGGGCGAAAAAATTGGAGCACATTTTGGGATGGCTTCCAATCTCGATTAGGCCAAGCTGAGGAAATGGTTTTGTCAGCCGGTTTTGACGCTCCGGGTCACGCATACATGACATGCGTATCCTGCGGGTTCTTTACATTCACCAGAACTTCTAAGGCTTCCTGTGATGGTGGCTACATGAGCATAATTTTTTAAGATGATTAAAAATATAAAGAGACAGATTATTTTTTGATGGAGGGGGAAATGATGTAGGCCCGTGTGCTCAGATTTTGGAGCACGTTAAAAACCCCAAGAGAGGGAAATTTCCGGTGCCCCGCACTATGGCGTCTCTCATAGTCGTGTGGCGGTTATGGGACAATGAACTGTGCACTGAACTGGACATGTATTTATCAACGCAGATTATTAGCAATGCACAAATATGGGGACAGACATCATGGGCGTGTGGACGTTCATTCTGGAAGTTTCTACGCGAACTTTGAGATACGGTCAGGACTACGACTTGCTCTTTGCACGTCTAAGCAGAAAGCTTCGTAGGCGAAACTAATGTAATTCCACGCCTGGTTTGCTGAAACCAAGTTTTTTATGGAAGGTCATTGGCGAGAACATTTGCAATACCAGGAAGGTAAATGCATAAACTTGGGATGCCAAACAGGTAGGGCTTCCAACGGAAACGGCCGAATACCATCGCCAACTAAAATGGTTGAAAATATCTGTGAATATTTTACGCTTAATAGTAATTTACTAATAGAGACAGTGGTTTTTATTCAAGATGGCGCGAGCGGAGCCAACGAACTACGAGAGTGTATGAAATGGTTAGTTGATGACTGCGTGACTGTTTGTAAAACTGGACAGCGGTTCACCCAGCTTTAGTAAGCTGAGGTTTTATTAGATTTGTAGTAAGTACACAACACAATTACGCCCAAAAACAACATTTACTTCTTTTACAAACGTCCTCGCCACTGCACGGTAATTATTCAAGCCTCATCAACCACCGTTCGGGAATGCCGGGCGGTAAGCTTCAGGTACACTCCACCTTTAGGGTTTCCCACCAGACTCGGAACAGTCATGAGCAAGGGATCTTGAGATTTCTCGCATAATTCAAGCTTGTAGTCCCGCAAAGTTTTTATCAAGGCTGTCTTCATTGTCAACAATCCAACCCGTTTGCCAAGACATGTCCTCTGGCCGAGGCCAAAAGGGAAATAAGCGGCACTGTGGCGCCTTTTGGATTTTTCCTCAGAAAACCGGTCAGGCATGAATTTTTCTGGCTCTTCCCACAGGTCTGGGTCACGATGCACGTACCACGCTGGTGCGATGATGTTCACGCCGGCAGGAATGAAGTGTCCGAGAACCGTTGTGTTTTTAATGCAGCATCGAGCCACCATGAGCGGGACAGGAGGGTATAGACGCAACGCTTCCTTGACCACCATGTCGAGTCTCTCGAGCTCGTGTAGCTGCTCGAAGGAGAGTTCGTGTACGCACGGAAAGCGATCCTCCAGCTCCTTGAGAATCTTCGTCTGCTCTTCAGGATGCTTAGCCACCAGGTGCAACAAGAAGGCGAGCGCTGACGCGGTGGTGTCGAAGCCAGCTATCAGAAGCACGACAGCGTTTGAGCTGACGTGGCGGTCTTCAAGGGTTTTAACCTTTTGGCCAGTGGCTTGGCTGTGGTTCTTTGCATTCTCCTGGGCATCCAGAATCATTTGTATCATGTCCTCACGGCGGGGACTCTCACCCGAGCGACGCTGCTCCGTTACTTTGTCTACGTCGTCCATCATTTTCTTCATGCAGCGAGCGAAGGACGACAGTGGGTAGAACAAGAGCAAGAGTGGACGCAAGGCGGGAAATGTGAATGAGCTCTCAAGAGCAGTCTTGTCCGCATGCTCAAAGACCTTGCGCATCCAGGTGAGGAAAGAATCTCCGCTGTTTCGTTGGCAGTCAATCTGAAAGATTAACCAGGTTTAATTAACACAAATAAATGAACTGCAAAAGCTATGACATGACCATTCATTGAAAGTTGCAGTGTGTGCTGTGATTTACGTGGGAAGACGACATGATTGCGGTACACGCTAAAGACTTAGGCTTAAATAAAGACTTGGTACTAGTTAATTGGTAAAGTGGCACAATGAAAACGATAAGCACACGAAGACATCAACAACAAAAACGATCACAAAGAGGATAACTTGCAACTGACATTTATTCTGACACAAACACACATGTATTTATATTTTCTTCTCTCATCATGTGCTAGCAACACATGCTTGAGAACAAAAAGGACGTCAATTTTTTTTTCTGCTGCTATTTTTTTTTCGCGAAAGATTAGCAGATGTCGTTATCCTTCCCACGCAAACAGGGCAATGAAGCAAAACAAGCCTCTTGATAGAAAAATAGAAAAAGCTTTTGACTGAACACATAATGCGCTATCAAAGACGCAAATTAAGTGGTTAAGAAAAGAGACATGATATAAACGTGGGTTTTACCAATAAATAGGAATGCAGCAACAAGGTATGCTTTGTATTAACGATGGACATCAGAAGGCAAAATTTAACTTTGACCAATTAGTGCTTTTAGGCATCGTTTAAGTGCGGGTGCAATGCTGACGAATGAAAAGGCGAACATTCAGGCCGAAATGACCTGTGTAATTTAACTTTGACAAATCAGTCATGTTGAGCCATCAGGTAATTGTGGGAACAGTGCTGACAAATTAAAACGTGACCATTCAGACATGTACGTTTGTGTACACTTTTGCTTCCACAGTCTACCTTTCATGTCATATAAGCGTATTTGCGCTCAAACACTTACATCACAGTCTCAGACTGAAAACTACAAAGCTATAGCGGCCAGACTTGTAACAAGATGACGTGGTTATGTCGTGCCATTGCGCATACCAGTTTTTTCCCCAAGACTTTTGACGTAGCATTACCATTCATGAGGGCCGATCAATATTAACTGTTAAGATGTTATATCCTAAAAGAAGATATAATTGTGAGAGACGTCATAGCGACCGGCTTCTCAAAATTGTCAGAACCTGGGTTTTTTAACGTGCACCTTCTTTTAAGCGCTAGCTTTTATATACGTGTGTGTGTGTGTAAGTGTGTGCGTGCCTGTGTGTGTGTGTGTGTGTGTGTGCATGCGTGCGCGCGTGCGTGCGTGCGACATTGACATTACGCTATCAAAGGAATCAAAAAACATATATAAATGAAGTGCTGACTGCCCGTGCAATTGATATTCATCGGTTGGTTCCACAGGAAGATGCACTTACACATGCCATCGTTAGTCGCAGGCCACGCCTGAATGCAGCGGATTTTTTAAGGGTGCTTCTGAAAGTTCTGTGGCTTTGTACGCCGGGCGTACATGGTCAAGTTTGTTTTACGATACCTTAAACGTAAGAGAACCAGCGACTGTGCTTTCCGCTACCAGTTTAGTGCTACAGCGTTAGTTGCTAATATCGTCAGTGTTGCTTTTGCTGGGCACCCATTGGCCAACAAATATACAGATAGTTGAACTAAAAACTAGATGCCCTTATCAGGAATATTTCTTCAAACGCAGCACAACAAATTCCTAGAGGCAATAAAATGGTTAAAAAACAAAACATAACAAAACCTCTGAGCACGCTTGAACTTTGCCTTCAAGAGTAGAACGCGACAGCGTAAGAAGGCGCCGTGCGCATCGACTTTTCGATTTATAGTCCCGCTTCGGCTCTCGGTGCATACCACAACCGTGCTGTAAGCAAAATAGGGACTGTGTGCCTAAAATTGCCTCCTTAAAACTATCCCACAATGCCCACTGCGCCAGAATTCTTCGTTACGCGTCTTTAAGGCACCACGTGGAGCTACCCAGCTGTTCCCTTGGTCGATGCTTTTGTAGCTGATTATTTATTTATTTATTTATGTATTTAATTATTTCATATTATTGTCAGCCCTCTCTTCAGGGCTCTTACAGGGAGGGTACAACCAAATACAAATCAACCATTATACATCTATGTCTTGTAGTAGCGCAATCAATTATTACATGTGTAACACTTTCAAACAGACAAACAGTGCCTGAATTTACAGCAATGCCTGGCTACGCATTACAAGGCTTAAACACACCTGGGAGATAGAAAACAAAGAAACTCAAACCAAGGAAACATGCAGGCTTATCATCTGGCAGCTCCATCACTCAAATACATGTCCAACATTTTTTCGAATCGGCAAAGATTGCTTGCATTTACTACAATGCCTGGCAACGAATTCCTAAGCTCAATCGCAATTAAAAAAAGCATAACGAAACACATCACTCCGACAAGAGTACGGCACTAAAGCACAGTCGTGATTAACCCGAATGCTTTGTTTCTCTGGTACTTTTAGGTAGAAATCATTGTTAATTTTTACTTGTCCTTGCAGTATCCTGAAAAGAGCTTTCAACCGGTTCTTCGGTCTCCGTGTCTCGAGTGATTCCCGTTCACAGGATTCCAAGATCTGCGTGACAGACTCTAACCGGCGGTAATTCGTGCATATGAAGTGGACGGCATGCCGTTGAACTTTTTCTCTTTCAGGCTGTCTTGATGAGGACTCCACATGACTGAGGCATATTCTAGTAGTGGTCTAACGAAAGTTTTGTAAGCTACAAGTTTTATATCTCACGTAGGTTGACGTAATTTTTGTCTTAGGAAACCTAGTCTCTGGTTCGTTTTCAAGCACACACTGTCTATGTGTGTATGCCATGCCAAATATCGAATGAGGAAATAATGATGTAAGACAACTTTTCAATGAGCGAGTGAAAAAATAAGCATGCTTTGTGCCATTATCACGTTTTGACACCTGGTGTTAATACAAGTTTCTGCCCGGCAACGTTACGTTGTTTAAGGAGACTCTTTCTATACCAGACGACATTCATGTTGTTCTTGTTGTTATTTTTTGAAGAAGTTTCAACCAATAGTGTGGTTCTGTGGTAGTACACCTGTTTGCCATGCAGATGGCCTGGGCTTGGTTCTCAATCAAACCAAAAACTACTAATAATTGTGTCATTTGCATCTTCCTTGATTTTTTTATGACGAACAAGATAATTATTTTTCGCTCACAACCAACGACGCCAGCACAGACTTTTACGTTGACCCCAAAATTTCCGTAAATGAGCTCTTTAACATAATTGCGTTAATACTAATGTGAGGGCGACATAAACAAGGCATACTTAAAAGACAATTGAATTAGAAATATTATTGCAGCATAACGACAATACACGATATTATAAGCCAAATGATCGGCGAATCAATCTTGGCACCTTTCAAACAAAGGATTACCCCACTCAATGTCTCTTTCGCAGCATCAAAAGCACCATTATTCGCTATATTAATATTTCCATTGGCTCTCCCAAGGACAAAGAGATGGCTAGACTGTCCAGCTGTTTTTCAGACTATACATATCTGGCTAAATTTACATTTAGTTATGGTGTATCATTGTGGCATATTGACCCCACGGAAGCATACTGCCTTATTTTGAAGTCGTGATCAAGGAGATAGTTCTTACCTCCCAAGCCAATGCCGCCTTTGTGATGATGTCAAGGGCCAAACTTTGGGTGAGCCGATACATTTCAGACACCCTCGATTTGGAGCAGAATTCTCCGAGTATGTCGACAAATACATTTGCGCACTGGTTCACGATGCGGGAGTAGAGCTTCACTTTTGCGGCTGTGAAACCTTGGTTCATGATAGAGCGCACCTTTCTCCATTCCGCTCCTGCAAAAGAATAAACGTAATGCTTTCAATGTTTTACACATCTATCTGCACCTCTTTCGCTATCCGTGAATCGCCTGTTCCCATCATTCGTTATGAACAGTTTCGGCAAGCTACGATTAAACGCTGGCGAAGAAACAGTGACAAAAGAATGGCCGCCTCCCTTGGACGTCTTTTGGCAATTTGATAGCCTTCTGACGACCGCATTAGCGAAAGGAGAAAACAGCCGCTGATGAACGGGCCTGATTTTCACTGCTCCTTGCTCAGCACTTACAATATTGCCAGCTTCATTTCATGCTATTGGAAAGATGGAGCTGCAAAAGCTGCGTGTCTGTACGAAAGCGCACACAGTCAGAAAATTGGTAGTGCTATTGACGTTTTTTTTTTTGCAGAACAAAAAAGAGATTAAGGAATAGTGACGGACACAGCTCATACAGCATAGGCGTTTATAGCTGACTCAGACTTCTGAAACACAATGTTCACGTATATATCGCATTTTCAAGAATTGTGACCACTGCCTTAAACTTTGTGTGGCTGCGACAAATTCTTGGGCTATTTGCTAAGGGGAGTAATTATTTCTCAATACAATACCACCAGGTAAGTTGGGTGCTCACACTATTTCCACAGTTTTCCCAATTATTGTGTCTCTGCTTTTTAGACGTAGGCTCAGAAAAAAACTGTAAGGCGCTTCATAATCAACTTTTCACGCACTACTAAAAGAAAGGGGTTCTGGCGCAGATGGAATCTCGAAAAAATGCAAAATCCTTGGTACACGTAGTGTTGCTCGAGCTGACAGTCTGATGAGCGCTGTTGTCGTCGTCAACACTGAAACATTAAAGAAGACAACACTGGTTGTCGAAACAGCTGGCACCAGCGACACACCGCGTTGGAAGGGATGTTCAATACTCAAATTACATGTATTAGAAGGCCTAAACCGAACAAGTGATCCAACACATAGCTCTACAGAGCTTCTTTAAGTAAATGCATGAAATATAGTGCATTTAACGTACGCTACTTTTTCTTGTGTGTAGTGTACCACATGAAGTGTTGACTGCGTCTTGAACCGCGCTGACGTTCGCTATACTTATTGGAATTGGCTTTATCTCAGAGTGCATTCTAATTTAACAGAGCACAATGAGTCGCGAGATGAAGCAAGTTGGAAAGGACAGCACTAGTGATAAGAGCTGGTAGGCAAACAGATGCGAAACGCCGCTTTTCTTCTCATGAAGAAGCTTTCGTGGGAGAAGAATCATGACTTCGAGAAATCGATCATTTATATGCCTGAAAGAAATCAGCGCGCGTGTCATGAGAGGCTTGCTCCTACGATTCATTCGAAAGTCAATGAAATGTTTTAATAGAAACTGTTTGCCAATGAATATAAACACCGTCATCTTGTTGAAATGTTGTTTGTTTGAGCAGAATTATTAATTTGAAGATGAGTGAAATAGAGCAGACACAATACTTCACTAATTTATAGCACTCGGCTAGTGCACAATATTTTTATCTTATTGTTAGTGACATAGTTGACAGTGAGGTGTGTCCATGGGCCAGTGCTCGCATTAACCAGTCTTTTCGTCCCTTCCAGTCGATCGATATGTGGGGTTTAGCGTCCCGAAATCACCATATGATTATGAGATACGCCGTAGTGGAGGGCTCTGGAAATTTTGACCACCTGGGGCTTTTTAACGTGCACCCAAATCTGAGCACACGGGCCTACAACATTTCCGCCTCCAGTTTCGTCCCTTCCGTAAAGCGCTAAGTCAGTTAAGACAAAAGATATTGCCCAATAACTGTGCAGTTGTTATTTATTATCACGTGTTCCTCAACACCTAGAAAACAAAGAAAGCCAAAATTTATACATTCATCGTGTCAGACCGCGCACATTCGTACGCCAATGTGACGTCACCAATTTTAAAACATAATTTTTTATTGTGGTCGCATCGACTAGATAATTTGGTTATAAAACATGCTGTGGCAAGTATTGGACTCTCTTAGAACACAGGCGGAGTTAATATTTAAAGCAAAGTCTTGTTCATGCACTCTTCTTGGTCTTTCTAGCAGTAGATTTCCCTGTGAGTTGTTCAAAAAAAATCGAATTGAAAGATGACGTCCTTTGCGCGTTCTTCGTGGTTGCGCATCGAGAACTCGAACCTCTATTACTTAACAAAGAAGGCTGATGCTCTAACCATGAGAACAACCCAACTGCGCGGGTGCCACGTCGTGTTCAAGCTAGCCATGTTGGCTTCCTCCATGCTATTTGTTTCCTGATTTGCTCTCTGACTTTAGCTTATCGCGACGTCAATGAATAAGGTCATGAAGCATCCAAACTACCAATCAAAAAAATATCGCGCGCATGTGTTTATTGTAGCACTCATTGTTTAGTTCTTAAAGGTACAAAACGGCAAGTTTACGCTTAATATGGCAGCACTGAAACCCATCTTTAAAATTGCTTAGAAACAAGGTTGAAATCGACATGGTGAAGCCACGCACTAAAATGGCGCACCACGAAAGCGGTCATCTAGAGAAGAACACGCGGTTTTTCTTTTACGAATATCAGCATACCGAGGAGTCACTATTGTAGCGTAGTGTTACTGTTGCTACTTTGTAGCCACTGGAGAGATGACACGAACACACCGCAGGTGTATAGACATTGCCCTAATATGATTCATTTGGCTTAAGTTTCCCTAATCAGACACTTTATGCTCTTGTGCTGTTCTCGACGCGACTATTTTGGGGCTTCCTCGAAGTGTCCCAACACCATGCCAGAGACCAAACAGAAATAATTAATTGGAAGTCCCCGTTGAACAAAGCCAATCAGGTGACACGGGTTCAAACACGGACCCTCACTCACGGGTTGTCTGTACCGAGTTCGAACTTGATGACAGCCGTCCTCCAAAAGAATAATTATCTGAGCTGAACTAAAAGCACTAGGAAAACTGCTGCGACATCCGTTAGCTTTCCACCGAGCGGTCTACCCCACATACCCTAAGGCGGAGAACCGTCTTCGTCTCCAAAAATGAAAAAAAAAGCATCTCGCTGGAAGAAAGAAGACACTGCTACATAACAAAGCCGACGAAGAACTAAGACACTGCCAGAAACATTGCTGTATTTCAGCCCTGCGACAGGGAAAGTGCCAACAGTTCGATAAAAAAATAGCTCATCAACGTTTGAGCGTTACTTCCGCTCTACAGTAAAGTGGAAAGGTGGGACAAATTGAACAGATGCATTCTTGAAAACATTTCAGCGCGAACGAGATGGAGCACAAACAATAGACACAAACAAGCACTTTCCAACAACTGAAGTTCATTGAAGGAACTTTCAACTACCGTGAAAACCAAAAACGCATGCGCAAACATTGTATGTAACCAAAAAGCTCATACAAACTACGTAGTTCACAACCTAAAAGGCAAACAGACACCTCATATATGCAATCTTTGATTGATATGTGGGGTTTAACGTCCAAAAACAACCATATGATTATGAGAGACGCCGTAGTGGAGGGCTCCGGAAATTCTGACCACCTGGGGTTCTTTAACGTGCACTCAAATCTGAGCACATGGGCCTACAACATTTCTGCCTCCATCGGAAATGCAGCCACCGCAGCCGGCATTCGATCCCGCGACCTGCGAGTGAGTAGCTGAGTACCTTAGCCACTAGATCATCGCGGCGGGGCTATATGCGATCTTCACCCGCATCTTGCATGAAATACACTTCCATGAGTTCTCGTGCCTTCTTTCTCTATGTTTTCACAAGATGACAGTGTTACCGAAGAACGGTCTGCACCGGCAAGTCTTTCAATGTGTCGCGAGTGTGACGTCGTTGTTTCTTTAAAATAGTCCTATGCTGTCGATGTCTTTCATGTATGCATTCACCCGACTGGTCTATGTTCACTGTGCCACAAGAGAGGGTAGCCTTTAGACCCCACCAACAGAGCAGGAAACAGGGAGGTTGATATGCTTAACCGTACAATTCACACCTAATGTTTCTCGAGTCTTGTCAGCATAGGAAGGCTTTTCACACTTCCCGATTAGAAATAAAGAGAACATCCACGTCCATACTTCTTGCAATCTTGTTAAATTGATGAAACAGCTGGTGCACGTAAGACATCAGAGCACATCTCGAGGGCTTACCCCCTGGTTCACCGTTAGCACTTAAGAGACTTGCAATTCTTTACTCATCTTTCCGAGGCTGACACAGGTAGTCAATCTAGTCGATAGATTTTACATTAATATCAAGAGTCCTTTTTTTCGACAAATGACATCCCCTGCACTTTGCTTGTTATATTAGTCTGTTTGCACTCATTATTATCATGTATGGCAGCACTAATGGCGAGATACTAAGTTCAGCAGCATTTTCCTGCAGTCGGTACTAGGCTAAGTTGTGCTGGTTGTACCGAAATTGTTAAAAGTACTAGAATTATTTCAAAATTTTCCAACCTTGGATGTGCTGCGAATATAGTAATAATGGTACAATACAGGTGAATTATTTTCGAAGTACAGAATGATTATGGCTTCAAGCATTTCTAGTGGTAGCGGATTTCGATTAGTGATGTGGCAATTTAGTGTGAGGTTTAGGTTAGCTATCCGCCTTTAAGCAACTGGGTTATGGTTTGGCTGCACATCTGGTTGTGACTGCAGGCGTTCTTTCTCAGTATAGGAGACGCGAACAAAGTAACTTAGTTTCATATACCTGCCCCATACGGTTGCAGAACGCTGGTTCACCGGAATGGGTCTTACGGAGAACTTACCTTTGACAAAAAAGACGGAGCTTGTCATGGGTTCGACATCGAGGGCATAAAGAGGTCTATCCTGGAATATTCGGCTATCTTTTATGAATATTTCTTTAATCACGTCGACATCCGTGACGACCATGTAGGGCTTTTCGGCCAGGAAGAAACCAAAGATTTTGCCATACTTTCGTATCCATTCTCCCATCACCTGAACAGAAAGCAATAAAACGATTAGGCGCACGCTTGAAGGTCATGAAGTGTTAGGCCACCCCTCCACCCGTTAAAGTCCCCTTCCCCCCGCAAAAGAAAGGTTGCTGTTCACTACCAACTGCAAGGAACCAAAATGATGGGCGGACAGTTATAGTGGCGACACAGAAAGTGGAGGCTCAAGTGTGTCGAGTTATCGCAATATTGCCACCTGATAGTAGTCATTCTGAAGCCAGCGTTGTGTTGTATGGAAGCGTATAAGAATGCGTCGTGTTAGCGGGAAGACATTACAGTGAAGGTGACTTACATGGTTCAAGCGATGGAAGATAGCTTATCAGCGTGGTCTAATTTATGGAATGTTGACGTCGTTTTTTACTACTTGTTGGTAGTTTATCGCAAACACGCCCACTGGAATAATGATGTCGTAGAAATAAAGAAGTACAGTGCTACGCTGATGACTTCGAAATAACGCTTAAGTCTTTGGCCGGCAGCTGATATGCTATATTCTTAAAAGCTGTAAGTTTCTACGCAGTCATTATATCATTGACTGAATGCGTGCTTGGTAATATATTGGAAAGCATTAGTAGGAACGATGGCAGGTATGAGCGTACACGCTGCATCTCGATAAGCTATTGAGGTGTTTCTCTTCGTGCAAGTTGTTTTGGAAAACGCGGTGAGATTTTTATTCAAAATAAAAAAAAAACATATTTAGGTGTTTGGCTTACAAAAACGCAATGAAGGCAATTTTGAACATTTTTTTATCATTGGAAAGATAGCAAGGCTCGTGATAAAACATGAGAGCGGCAAAATCAAAGTTTTACGTATCTACAATCCAACATAGACTCATGACCATGGGAAAGCTGAAGAACTATACAATGAAGTTGAATTAATAATTAGAAAGCACGTATCCAGTACACCTTAATAATGGGTTATTTTAACGCGATGCAGGCGGCAGCAAACAAAATGGAAAATAAGAAATTCGTAGAGAGGGTAATATTTCTAGCAATAATACATACGTTAGTAAAATTGGCATAACAGAATTGGCTCCAAATACAGAACAGCTTCCTTCGGAAGCATAAAAATAAGAATTAAACATGAAAAGCCATAACAGAGAAAGAAAGAATAAAGTAGGTTCCATCGCATGCACCAACACAGGCATAGCACATGACCTCGATGTCATAAGTGAGATGAATTGCAGTGGCTATAGGTTTGTGACGGTGGTGACCACAGTCTTCTTAAGAATTAGTCCAAAATTGTGAAATAACTTGTGGTTTAAATGATTGCTGGAACATTTTAAATAATATTAGAGGGTAAGCACACGGCGCACTAGCACACACCTCCACATTTAGGAAACACTGCTGCACGTGTTTGGTGCCCGAACGAGTGAGTGTGCCAGTTGTGCGTTCAGCTTATTTTTAAAAAGCAATATTAGCCGCTAGAATGAAACCAAACTGAGACGTAGTCACAACGAAATCAGCAAGACTAAGTACTGCGACGAAGTTCAATTACTAAGATTTAGAATTTCAGGAAAATACTTGCACCGCTGAAATGAGCGAAACAAAGGCAAGAATGACCACTGAAGAAGCAATGTAAGTGGGAGGTAAAGCACCAAGGCAAAGAGTTCGCTCTCTCGCCCAAACCATGAAACATTCACTGAAGAAATCGAAACGCGTGAAAGTGATCTTCTGAAAATTTGAAGTGGAGGTCGCTGAGCAAACAAAGCTGATGAACAAGAAAAAAAATAAGTGAAATCAGCAGAACAACATGAAAGATGGATTGATTGATATGTGAGGTTTAACTTCCCGAAACCACCATATGACTATGAAAGACACCATAATGGAGGGCTCCAAAAATTTCGACCACCTGGGGTTATATAACGTGCACCCAAATCTGAGCACACGGGCCTACAATATTTCCGCCTCCATCGGAAATGCAGCCGCCGCAGCCGGATTTGAGCAGCCGAGTACCTTAGCCACTAGACCACCACGGCGGGGCAACAACATCAAAGAGACAAAGGCCACAGCAGAAAAAAAAGTGGGAACATGCACACAGCTAAACTGAAAGTGCGCTGTAAGAAGTAAAATGCACGCTTCAAAAGACAAGCAATGAATTACCACTAAATTCAATGACATAGTTAGAGGGTGGAGAAATTTGGCGCAGAACTTTGTGATTAGAAAATAAGTCACCTACCCTTGATCAAAATTAGCACCGAGAAATGTATCGAAGTGCCATATGTATCTAGTGACCAGGTGAGAAAGGTTTTAGTTACATGTGACCCGAGAAAGTGGCTGATGATCATTGTATGACAGCCGGTCTGAATAAACATGAACGAAATTTAAACAGGGATAAAAGACACTTGACTTTAAGGTTGAGCCATCCTAGAAAACTAGCTGGTTTCAGGAAATACACTGCGACGCATCATATTCATGTCGTCAATTAGGTATATGGAACTCTCAATGCAACAAGATGTTTACTTAGCTTTCATGGAGTACGAAAAGACCCTCAACTCTCTAGACATACCAGGAATCTTAAAGTCACTAACTCGACAAGAGCTACCCTGATGGTATGTCGGTACTTTAGCCGGCATTTACAATCTCTCTAAGGAGTCAGTCATGGAGAAGCAATCTCCCGTATTATGCGCACTCCATGCTTAGAAGTAATAAAACAACTAGACTGCAGGAGAAGGAATCAATGTTAACGGAGAATATGTCGGCAACCTACGGTTTGCAAATAGCGTAATATTGTTCATTAGGGAGAAACTTGGAGATAAACTACTGAGGATATAAAAATGAACATAATAATGTGCAATTAAAAGTAATATGTCAGAGATAATGCTCATTACCCAGGAGAAAAAGAAAGAGACATTACTGGAAACCAAAACAAAGAGAAAGAAATATATTGTATGAAGAAATGCAAGGAGGTTAACCAGAAAGCAATTGTCTGGTTTCCTACCCTGCACTGCGGAAGGGGCAATAGGAGACAGAAAAGTAAGAAAAAGAGAATGAGAGAAAGAGGGTGGGACGGCAGCAAAAACAAACAAACAAACACACTAAAAGACGCACATACAGAATAAATTTATATTCTTATGGTGCCTCAGATATGCGCCATAATTGCTTTTTAATTGACAATCGCACAAGTATGAACGCTAAATCTTGAGAAACATTGGCCGGCGCTGCGGATGGGGTCGGCCGTTTGGAGTATCGGCTGGTCCATTCAGAGTACCCGGTACCGTTAAGCTTGGACAGACAGACAGACAGACAGACAGACAGACAGACAGACAGACAGACAGACAGACAGACAGACAGACAGACAGACAGACAGACAGACAGACAGACAGACAGACAGACAGACAGACAGACAGACAGACAGAACAAAAGTTTCCCGTCGGAGGTCCCCAAGAAAGACTATCGTCTTTAAAACGTCCCAACCGTTCAACGAGGCGGGTCGATCGCAGAAACTTCAGGAGGGCCTTCGCCGCTTTTCGGCGTGAAGCTCGATCTTTCTGGCATTCCAAAATTAGTTTTTCGGAAAGCGACTCGTCATCGAGGCGTGCAAACACTGCTGACACGGACTGTCTCTGACAGTTGTACTGAAGGCACTGACATAAATTATGTTCAATGGTTTCGTCAGCACCGCAATGATAACACGCAGCACTGTCTGCCAATCCGATGCGACAAGTAAAGGCGTTCGTGTAAGACACCCTATGCCACATACGGCAGAGAACGGTTGTCTCAGATCTGCATAACCCAGATGGAATGGAAAGTCGTAGGTACGGGTCCAAACGGTGAAGACGGGTGTGTAAAAATCCGGGCGTGTTCCACAAATATATGGTGACATCATGCGCGAGAGTAATAATTCTTGTTGCTACTTCGCTTTTTGACAGTGGAATGGGTTTCATCATGCCATTTTTGTGAGTGTTCTTCACTGCATCGCCGGCACACTCATTATTGATGATTCCACAGTGGCCTAGTATCCATTGAAAAGTTACATCATGTCCTTTCTGGAGTACTTGCTGATACAATTGTATTGTTTCCAGCACCGTTTGGCCTTGATGTTCACGACGTAGCGCAGTTCGGATACAACAAAGAGCTGGTTTTCAGTCTCGAGGCGTTGTTCTCTAAGCACCATTTAAGAGGTGCTTCTTGATCAATCCTGCGGAGTGCACAGCGGAGTGCTGTGAGCTCTGCGGCTGTCGATGTTCTTTTGTGAGCTGTTCGAAATAGATGGTTTCGGATTTTTCTAGGAAGATCACAGCTCCTGCAGATCCCCTTACATTTGTCGAATCATCTGTATAAAGTTTAACATGGTGTTTGTATGCTTTTTGCAGCAAATGTAGAGTCAGCTGCTTCAACGCTGGTGTCAAGAGATCAGCTTTTTTTGCGAATTCCTGGCACTGTCAAGCGTAGCTTTGGGCGGTCTAAACACCAAGGGGGTGTCAGGATACGTTCCGGAGGTGTGTAGCCTGCTGGAGGGCACTCATGGTAACTCAATACTCTCTTACAAAAGGAGGAACTCAGTCGATCTTCTGGAAGCGAAGCGAGGTAGTGGGCAGGGGCGGGTAAACGGTGCCTAATATGCGCTCGAAGCTCCTCTAGAGTAATATACACTGAAGCCGGATTATCGTTGGCGATTGCGATGGTCTCCGCTGTGGGTGTGCAGTGTGGTAATCTAAGACAAACACTGAGTGCCCGACCCTAGGCGCTTTCTATTGTACGTACTGCTACTTTTGCAGGTATTTGTTAAAACAGGCAAGCTGTACCACATGTACCCCAGGAACAACGTCCTGTATTGCTGCAACATGACGTGTACTGATGTGCCCGCCCCACTTTTTTCCTCCGAGGAAGTTCAATAGTTGGGAGATGTCTGTCAGGCGCTTTTTCAGACTGGTCACATGGGGACTTCAGCAGAGATGTCGATCAATGTTTACTCCCTAGAGCCTGTGTGTGCGGGTGTAGCAGAAGGTTTGTCCATTGATGGTGATGGAGATATGACGTCATTGTTTCCGCATGAACACACCCAGCGCCGATTCGTCTGGAGAAATCTCGAGGCGTTGCTCTCTAAGGTACGCCGAAATAGAGTTCGCAGCTTTCTGAAATTTCGCACGTATCTGCGGACGTGTTTGGACATATGGATACTAAAACAATGAAAATTAACACAAGAATATGTGTGCTTTGAAACATTGCGAACACGAAAGGATAAAAGGAAAAGAAAATTCACTGAAGAATAAAAATTAACTGCGGCGCGTTCGGCAGGCGCTCACAAATATTTACAGAAAATATGTTGCTATTAAAGTGAAAACTATATATCCACAGCCCACTGCAATGATTGTACACGTATGGGTTTGTAACATTCAGGACAACAAACAAGCAAATGAAATTCAAAGAACACACCACAGCTCGAAATACTTACTCATGAGCCGATTCAGTATCTCACCCGGACTCACATGGAGGCGCTAGTCAGAGTCTGAGAGACCTCGAGTAAAATATAGTTCAGTGAGTGTGTCGGAGTGAGTCCGGTTTAAGAAACGTTTGATGAGTGAGAGTCTGGGCAAATTCTAGGCGCCAAACAGGTTTGATGATCGAGTCTGAGTGAGCTCCACACTTTTTTGCCGGCCTATAGAATGCACAGTGCTCGAGTGAACCAAAAAATGATTGAAATAACATTGAGGCGCCAAAGAACGGCAGAACGCGTTAGATAATAAACAGAGATGTAAACATCATGTAATGTTTAGGACTGACAGTAGGGGGACGCTGAACTTGTCCACCCATCGCTGCCCATCAACAGCATTGCAAGAGATCAAACTCGCTGCCAAGGAAGGCAGAGAGCTAGGCGGAGTGGACAAATAAACAAGTTTACAGGGATAAAGTTGCATCAGCTCTGACAGGACCGAGAAAACTGGAGATCACTGGAAAAGGCCTTCATCCTTCAGTCAACTAAAAAAAGGCAAACAATGATTACGGACATAAAATAGAGATGTTGTCACAATTGCTCGTGAAAAAGAAAAACAGAATTGTTTTATAAGAATACTTAGGGATGATCTAATATAACCATATTCACCGATTCATGACAGAGGTGTGATAGATCCTTAACCTTAACGATGCAACCGCACACAGATTTCAAAGAGTTCTGAGCTGCTTTGAAAATTGACGAATTGAGATATTTTTTTTCTAGAGTCTTGGCATACATAAATATTATTCTTACAATCGAAACTGGAACGATCATGATAGCAGCTCAACAGGCTGGGCGATCTGGATATTTACGCATTTTATGATCGTATTCGGCCAAGCAAAAGCTACGCTTACAATTTCGTTTCACTTTTGAAGTCATGACAGCCGAGAAATTATGTGACATAGGTCATTATTGAAGCGGCATATTTTGAATTGACGCCCCACGCACCGGTATTCGATCCTTCTGCAGTTGCTTCCAGCTCCCCCAAACGAGGTCCGGCTTAGGCCCTGCGTATCCGAGTTGAACGAAAAGGCTGTGCTGCCGTCGGCGCCAAATCACCCAGGTCGTGGTCACCGTCACCAGGAGTGTAAGCAAAGCGGTGCATATCAGCTCCCACAAGCCCACCGTAGACATTCAGGCTCTGAGAACAAAAAAAGGGTCCGTTAAAGTTTATGCATTTACGACACACAAAGGTAAGAGCGATAACAACACGCCGTTTGAGAAATTGGACGTTGCCAGTGCTTCAATAGCGAGTCGTTTTCAAGGACATTTTTTGAACGTTCTCTACGATTGATCTTAATCACAAAAAGAGTCCGGTAAGCAAGGCATAGAGCCAAACTTTGTGTAGAATGCTCTTGCTTAATAAAGTTGTCTGCGTTGTTTTCATGTAAACTAGAAAGCAGTATTTGAATAGCACATATGCTATTTCCTGAAAGTGCGAGACACCTTAAAAATCTAGTATAATACGAAAACGTGCGTGCACATGTGACTTCACCGCTTCAACGTAAATGAAAAAGTAGCAGAGACCACCGAAAGAACCTCAAATAAGTGCTGCAGTGGTGTATTTCGACATAGAAGTTGACTCACGCTGGGTTGTCGCTTGACGCCTGAAACTTTCGGCTTGGGTGGGCAGACTCCGTTTCCTGTGCGGCACCGATACGCTTTCAATATGCCCGGCTAACCAGTCGGAAAAAAGGCTCGAGGCACGTGAGACACGAAGAAAGACAGTGAGAGCATCCGGAGATTTCAGAAAAAAAGCTGTCCCGCAACGGAAACAAACTGGGCCACTGTAACGCCGCAGAATCTAGAAGGGCCATGCAGCCGGAAGAGATGTGAGCGGCATCTCAGAGAATCTCGTCTGGAATTCAGGGCAGGCGCCTCGAATGGCCGGGCATTTCATTCGAAAGCAGTTAAATTGCATTGATTTAAAGTTTAACGCTAACCGTTTGTCTCCTTACTTGCTTGTAGGAATGACTGCGCTGGAGGAGTGGAAGATGCACTATATTATTCATTTTTTTAAGACTTAGCACAGCTTTGTGCGCAAATATGTTCCCAGTCATAGCACACAACTCTACATACAAGACCACTGGCGGTCAAAGATGTGTAGCTTTCTTCATTTTAGTGATGTTCAGCGGAAATGAGTTGTGCAGACCTGCAGATGATAGATGCGGATCTACAGATGGTACAGTGAGGCGTTCAACTAGACGGCAGCTCTCGCTACAATAGCTTGTTACTGTTAGTGAATTCTGTTGGGTGTTCTCTCAACAATACTTGACTACAGGGCGAAAGACGGCGCAAAGCTGAAAACGCAATAATAAGATCACATAAAAAATTAGGGGGAATTCTTGGGCCTTCTGATGCGTTTTGTAACGTCGCAATAATGAATTTTGCAGCGTATTGAAATTTGCAACAAATTTACTTCCTAGCGCTCTCTTAGTCCTTAATATTCCAATTTTTCTCAACGTTCCAAAATAAAGACTTGCTGCTTACATAGCTAAAATAAGCGGTTTTGGTTTTTATGCAAAACCAAGCTGTACACGCACCGAATCAGGTGTAGTCAGGGTGGGGAGTCAAGCGCTAACACTGACTGACCATGATGACCACATTAACTTCCTTGATTATTGTAATTAATAAATGACATCTATATACATGCAGTTCTAAACAAACGCTCAAAATGATATCTGAAGTTTAACGCTCGCGCTCAAAGGGGCCCTCTAACGCTCGAAAACATCGGTGCCGACTGCTTAACTCGTAGTGGCACTCGCCAGAACTACACAGTAAAATTTTTTACACCCTTATGGGTGTAAAAAGGGTGTTTTCAAGATTTACACCCTCTTTGAATGAATTTAACACCCTTTTCTTTGCTGGTACACCCTCAGAGAAGGGTGTAACGGGAAAAAGGGTGTTATTATGCCGTTCGTGAGGGTGTTGAAGAACAGAAGGGTGTACACCTATAATTGTTGGAATAAAAATTGTTCCGTTTAACGTCCCAAAGTTGTCATATAATCATTAGAGACGCTGTACCGAAGGGCTCCGAAAATTTAAACCACCTGGGGTTACTTAAGGTGCACCTAAGTCTAACTACACAGGTCTCGCACTCTTTCTCGTCCATTAAAAATGTGGCCGCCGTGAACTGCCGGGATTCAATCCTGCGACTTGCGGGTCAACAGTTCAGCACCATAAGCACCAGACCACCGGCGCGGGAGTGCACGTGCAAGAATCGAGCTGCATCCATGCTTGCAAATCAAATACCACGCATAGCGCAAGGAATGCATGCCTTTCCTAAGATAACAATGTCGCAGGGATGAAAAAAATCAAGGAAATGATTGAGGCATTGACAAATTTTACAGAACACTAAGAATAATTGAGAAAATGTAAAAGAGACTAACTTCTTCTCGCACTGTATGATTCGACATGCTTTGCCGCTTTATATCGTCCACATTATATGTGAATAAATGAATGGGCTACTGTCACGATCTACGGACAGCACATATTCATGTGTAGAAGCAATTGAGAAAAAAAAGCTTGAATTTATTACAAAAAACCCTTGCTCGGTCAAAAGCCGTTCGAGTGCAAGTTGTTTTCACAAGATTATCGAAGACGAGACGTGCTTGGTCCAAAAAGAAAACAATGCACTACCTTCTGCAACCATGCGGGAGCACGGGAAGTGGTTTTTTAGGTGAAGAAATAAAGGTCAGAGAATGGCACGGTCAGTGCACGCAGCGCCTTTGCGAAGCGAAGGGGAGAAGGGTACGAGAGGAGGAAGAGACACGCCTCTCGCCCCCCCCCTACACACACACACACACACACACACACACACACATATATATATATATATATATATATATATATATATATATATATATATATATATATATATATATATATATATATATATATATATATATATATATATATATATATATATATATATATATATTGTGGGACACTGCGACCCACGCCGTAAAATTTGTATTTGCTATCTATTCTCTTTGACATCCCCTCGGGGGGGGGGGGGGTTGTATGAGGTGATCAGCAGGGGGCACTGCAACCGCCGTCGAGTTAAAAAACTTATGTCGAGTTACAGTGCCCCCTCTCTATTTCTCTATGTACCTATAGGGATTTACATTGCCCCCTAAGTGACCAAGGGTTGCCCCCGCCCCCCTTCCCCCGTGGTGGGCACGCCTATGCATAGGCACCATCAATCATTGCAATAAAATTTTGTGTGTAAATGTGTGCGTCAACCATAGTACATTTCGAAGTCAAGAACATGAGTGTTTTAGGTGATTATTACCGCTGTTCTTCATTTGTTAAAAATGCATTGTACCTGCAAGCGTTTAAAACTTCGCGCGCTAAAGTCACGTGTTAATTTTTTATTTCGTTTTTTTGTGAAAATAAAATTATTTTTCCTGCTTTGTTTTTATGTTATATATATTTCCGTTTACTTTTTATATTTAACCGCATTACTTAAGCATTTTATTGCGCCTTTGTACGTCTGCGGAGCTGTAACCCCGAACTTGTTTTGGCGTGCTCGCTGGTCGGGCGCTGCAGCTTGTCGGTTCTGCATCGTTTTTTCTCGTTTTTTGAGGTGTGCTTGCGCGCTGCGTTCGTGTTTTGTGTTCTGCCGGTGCTGCCTATTACGAAGATGAACTCTACTCAAGCGAGGACGTGTGGCGTCGCATTTTGGAACACTCGCCAGGTACGTACCACATTGCTGCTGTCGGCGCTTTGTCAACACCGAGAGCGTGATAACGACGCCATGCTACGTTTTTCGTTACATGTGGGCGATAAGTGAAGTTTTTTAACGTAGCGAACCTGTTTGTGTGTGTCATTTCATCAGGATGAAGGCGTTTTTGTAGGAAGTCAAGCGTGGGCGAGCTTTTTCTTTCGATTCAAGCATGCTTCGGTGTGTGAAGCACATGGCGCGTGCCTGCGCAGTGGGAATTCGGCGGCGGATTTGTGCGAGTTGTGACGGCGCTCGCCTCTGTCGGCAGTGGTGTTGGCAGGGAGCCCTGCTCGCGATGGACCAATATTTTGGTTAAATAATTGTTGGGCGAAGACGGCGTTTGTTAGCTGTAAGCGTTGATTACGCCTAGGGCGCGTATGTTTGGATCTCTTAACTTGAGGATTTTTTTTTTTTGCATGCCTGTTCATATTGTGTGCCACAGGAGTCAACGGGTTCATGTGTTGTACGTTTCATATGTTGTACGCCCTTTTTTAAAACTGCTATCAGAAATTGCTGCGGGTAGCCGAACGTATGCCGGTGTATGCATCCACGTCGGCACGCATCTTTGAACTACCGTGTTACTCGAGTTCGCGTGCAGCATGCTGCCTCGTCTTAGGTACGGCTCGCAAGGCTTGCACGTATGTACGCTTACGTGTTTATGCAGCCCGTTTACTCAAATCTGAGCTTACGTTATACACCCGCAACATAAGTTGTCTGATGCGTTCGGAACCCACGAATTTTGAGCCGTTCGTTAAACATGAACTGTATTTCCGAACGAAATTTTCATGGCTTATTAGGGCCGAATAACTGTAGCTTAACTGTGCGAGCCCTAATTCGATCAGTAGTTCATGCGGTAGAGCACATTTTATTTTATCCAGCTTGTTTTCGCTATGCTTAGATTTCATTATTTTGTGGTGGTTTATTAAATATTGTATGTGCCTCGCCCAAACTTTGTGTTCAAACTTTGCTAAGCACTTTTACTTGTACGAACAGTAAGAACAGTTTAGACCATCACCTCCAAGGGCATTTATTAACAGATTACAAGCTTATGCCCGTCTGCTCAGAAACACACATGAAAACATTGAAAAACCACACACTGGCCACGAATAAAAGCACAGCCTTTGTCACTTGTGAATAGGGCTCCTGTGTGGGGGCCAAAACGTCATGCTTTCAATTGGGGCCAGCATGTTGTTTTAATTGTCTTCACATCAGATGACAAGCTTAAGTAAATTCTATAGGCATGCGCTACAGTTATAGAAGGGATCTGTGGTGTTTGGAGAAACGAATAAATTATTTAACGCTCAAAACTAGCAATAATGTTATACATCATAG